TTATGTTAAACAATTACCTGCACGACAAGGGGCAATCCGTACGCATCGTATTTACGCATGGTCCCCCTTGGCCTCGAGTGTGATCTGGTGAAGACGTGCACCGTGTCCTCAAAACATTTCCAGCCCATCAAGATCGTTGACGATCTGCAGATGGAATATGTCAATCTCAGTCCTCCGATGGTGACATTGCAACATGCTCTCAAGGATGTAGACTAGGCCGAGCTGTAATCTGTCCAACATATCGTCACACCTGCCACGATAGCCTTGCTCGACATTTGTCTTAATGGGAAGTCCAAGCATAGTTTTAAAACCCGGACCGGACCGACCGGTTTGATCCGGAACCCGTCGAACCGGACCATGGTCCGGTCAAGCTGCCCTTTTTTTACACTATACAGTCAGCCCGTTAAAAACTCAATTGAACCACCGGGTTTACAGTAAACCGTTGGCCCAAAATCCATATAACCCGCCCGGTTCGATGCCCTAAAAAACCCACCAGGCAAAAACGAAATCCCTCATTCTCAAATCTTAATAGCATTTGACGCCATTGCAGGTAGAAGAGCCACAGCGATAGCTTGCAATTTCACTCCCAAAAATCCGAAGTTTTGATTTCAAGTTGTAGTAGATGGAAGAAGAAGATGTAATCGTGTAAGCCCCAAATTCTTACGGGGCTTTAAATATGCACAGGAAAAAAAATAGTTTTAGAAAATTCTTTTGCCTTCTCTTCTTTGGATTTTTGGCATCTATACCTGTGACTCAATTGCTTTACTTTCTTCTTTGGATTCTCCTGCCTTCTCTTCTTGGATTTTTATCAGGCTGTGAGTTTTAGATTTTTTTTTTCTGGCATTTCCTTCAACATAATTGACTAATTTAGAAGCCTAAGAGTAGACAGAGGTCAATTGTATTTTACTATTTTGATTATGTTCTAAAATTTTGATGGGAAACTTTGATTTGGATTTTTTTTTACTCTTTAAAACATTAATTGCAAAAGATGTTTTTCTGTTGTTCAAGATAAATATAGTTGAAGTTTAGTGTTATGAAATCCACTGAGGAAGAGAAATCTGAACATTTCGATCTTTTCATTTTTCTTTAGTGATTTAGGTGTTTTGGTTAATTTATTAGACTACTGCTGAGATGGAAAATTTTATATGAATCCTCAATGTTCGTTTTATAGACTTTATAGTTGTCTATATGTTGTATGCAAGTTTATGGGTGAATATGGAATCAATTTTATGTTCTTGTTTACTTTTGCCATTTGATTGGTTGTTGTTTTTTTGCTTTAAATCCAGGATTTATAATTTGTTCAATTTTGACATAAAAATTGATCTTTAGTCACCTAAATTACATAAGGTTAATTTAGTTAGTATTAAAAGATGTCAAAATTTTATAATTTTATTATTCAATAAATAGATAATAATATATTTAAGAAGAATTGACCCGCCGGTCGAACCACTGGGTCACCGGTCGAACCACTAACCCGTTGCATTGTCCAAGTTAGTATCCGAGTCAGGTCTGACAACTATGGTAATAACAAGTCAGTTGACAAGTGGATGAATCTCAA